GATCCCCCCGGTGTCCCCCCTTACGTTCCGCTCATCCCGCCCCGTGCACGTGCCCCGCCCCGCCCGTTCAAACCCCCCGCGCCGCCGCTCATTGGTTGGCGAGTTTACGTCACCCACCCTCCGGTGACGCAACAGCCGGGGAGGCGGAGCCAAAGCGCTCCGTGGCCCCACCTCCTGACCCTCAGCGCCCCCCAGCGGCCGCCGCCAGTATCTGCTAGCGACTGCACCAGTGCTCCCAGTGCCCTAAACCAGCACTGCCCAGCGCCTCCCAGTACTCCCCACCAACTCTACCCAGCACCTCCTGCACAGGGCCAGGGGGCTGACCCTGCACCCCCAATCCCCAGCAGCACCAGCACGACACCAGTCAGGCAAACACCTCTTGTTTCCCCGTCCCAACAAAACCCCGCAGGAGCTGCCACGACTCCCCCTCCCCAGACACCTCCCTCCTTCCCCCCCGGGGCTCAGACGGTGGCCTCGACCTCGGGGGGCTCGTCCTCCTCGAGCAGCCCGTAGGCCGCGTGGCTCTGGAAGGGGCGCTGCAGGGGGTGTGCCAGCAGCTTGGCCATGCAGTTGTGCAGCTCCACCGCCGGCCCCGTCAGCGGCACCTCGTACTTGTAGTTGGTGCCCTTGGTGTCCAGGCTGCTGAAGAAGCCGTACATCTCCTGGGGAGGGGAACATCTCCTGGTTTTGGGGGATTACCAGCCCCCAGGAAAGGGTCAGGGGGTAGGCTGGGCTCCCCCCATCCCGGTGCGACCCAATTCTGACATGCAGAATTCTTTACTCCAAGTGAGGGAGCGATCCCTCCCACCAGCACACAGCTCCTGCTGAGCCCCCCAAGGGAAATCCCCCCCGCCCGCTGTACCTTCCAGCTGGTCTCCTCCTCCTTCTCCTCCAGGCCGTTGTGGATGTAAACCACGTCGAAGAAGAAGTAGGGGCACTGCAGCATCTTCTGCAAGGGAACCAGGGAGCTTTTCCAGGGATAACCCTGGAGCCACCCGGAGGGCACAGAGGCCGCACTCCGGGAATCACCTCCCTGGTCCCGCTGCCACACCGTTCCTGATCCAGGCCAGTTCGGTCTTCCCAGCCCACGCTGAGCTCCCTGTCAGTGCCCAGGTCCCTCCCTGCCCCCCGTGCCGGGGCTGTGGTGCTGCAGGACCCACCTTCATGTGCTCGGACATGGAGAACTGGGGCTGGCACCCGGGCCGGCCGAACACCAGGATGGTCCGGACCACGTAGGGCGGGGGGATGGTCTGCACGTTCTCTGTCACCGGCAGCTCGATCTTCTGCTGGCTGTGCCAGGGGAGGGGAAGGTGGGTCGGGGACCTCCACGGTTCCCCCAGCTCAGGGACCGTCCCCAGGGAGCAGCGCCCACCCCCAGGAGCAATTGGGGTTAAAGGCTTGGGGGGCAAAGCAGGGAATCTGCAGCCAGGCGGGAGATCCGAACCTCCAACCAAGACCCTCAGACTGTCCCAGCACCCACTGACCCCCCTCAGCATCCCTGAGCCCCTCCAAATGTACTCACATCAGGTTGAAGAGTCCTTCCAGATCTGCACTCCAATTGAGGACCAATCCTGGCACATCAACCCCCCCTGCCCACACCCCAGGGGCATCCCACGCCCCAGGGACATCCCAACCCCAGGCTGGCACCAGGACACCCAGGCAGCACCCCTGGAGGGAAGTGACATCACTGGGCACTGGAAATGGGGAGAAAACATCAACAAATGTGGGTCTGGTGGGTGGGGAGGGTCTGGTGTTACCCCCCAGCCTTGGGGGGGGCTCAACAGCTCCATGTGACCCCTCCGGCCTCCAACACCGACACTGCTCGGGATGCCAGTGAGGAGCCTCGAGGGTGCCTGCAGACACCCAAGGGACCCTGTTGGCACCCAAGGGACCCTGTTGGCACCCAAGGGACCCTGTTAGCACCCAAGGGACCCCCGTCCCAGCCCCCCAAGGCGGGCGGATACTGAAGGACTTGCAGACGACGGTCTCCAGGTCGTAGAGGCAGCTGCAAACCTCACGGGGGTCCGAGGTGAACCCTGAGAGCTGAGAGGAGCCGGGTGAGGGGTGTATGGGAGCTGTGCCTGTCCCCAGCCCTGTCCCCGTCCCTGTCCCCCTCTCACCCACGTGGCGTCGTTGTTCACCACCACCAGCGCGAACTCGTGGCACTTGTCGATCTTGTGCTTCGTCCTCACGAACATCTCGATCATCTTCTGGGAGATGTTCAGCGCGTTGGTTTTGGACCTGCCGGGGTGGGGACTGGGTTCAGCAGGTCCCAGTGGGTCCCAGTAGCCCCCCTGGCTCCCCCTGAGCAGCCCCCAACGCTCACCCGTTGAAGGACTCCAGTTTGGGCACTGCCATCTCCTCGGCCAGGTCCAGGCAGATGATCTGCGGGAGAGAGAGACACAGCTGAGCACCCCCAGCCCCTCACCCCATGGTCAGGGCTGATCCCTGCTCAGCCCTCCTGCAATCCCCCTGTATCCCCACACCCCCCTCACGCATCCCTCCAGCATCCACCCTGATAATTCCCCAGTGGAATGCTGGAGGCATCCTCAGCATCCTCCCTGTTAATTCTCCAGTACCCCCCCAGCATCACCAGTATCCCTCCAGCATCTTACCCGATAAACCCCCCGTACCCCCCCAGCAGCCACTCACCACCTTCTCGGGGCAGTTCACGCGGGGGGTCTTCACCTGGACCTCGGTGGGGGCGGCGGGGCCAGGCCAGGCGGTGCCATCGGTGCCCTGGGGGCTGTGGTCAGCACTGGCAGCCTCACCCTCGCCCTCGCTGCGGTTGCCCACGCTGGCCTGGGCGCTCAGTGCCCGGTCCTCGGCGCCCTCGGGGTTGGAGCGCGTGCGGGGCCGCGGCTCGGGCGCCTTCTCCTCGTCCTCCTCGGCCGCGCTGCCCGGCTCTGACGTGTCCATCCCGCGGGCACCCACTGGTGATCACGGGGGGCTGGTGGGGGGAGGGGGGTCACGGTGCGGCTGGGACCCCGCAATGCCCCGGGCCCTGGGCCTGGGCACCCCCTGCCCACTCTGTGCACCCCCTGCCCACGCAGCCCTCTCTCTGTGTACCCTCTGCCCACGCACCCCTCGCCCCCCAAGTGCCCCCCACTTCATGCATCCCCTGTCCACGCCCCTCCTTGCCCATGCACCCCTTGCCCCCCAAGCGTCCCCCCACTCTGTGCACCCCCTGCCCACGCACCTCCTGCCCCACCTACCCCTCCCCAACCTCGTGTACTCCCCACCCTGGCAGCCCCCAAGCCCCCTGCCCCGCCCCGTGCCCTCCTGACCACCCCTCGCT